ATGCGTATGTAAACTTAGAGTCAGATTTCAGAGCTCGATATGTGTTCATACAGTTCATTGCTAAAAGTAAATTATTATTATCACAGGGGATGTAGATCAAGCGCTATCAGTCGTTACATATGTGTTGTGGACCTTAGTCTCAGAACAGATTTGTTCGATCGCCCCTAGATGTATTCCAAAGTTAGTCTGTCTTTCTCGAGAGAGAAGGCCGGGATATAGTCCCGAACTCCTGGAGAGGCCGCCTGACGCTGCAGAAAATCCGGTTCTACGACTGCTGGCATAATACTGAACTGGTCTTCATTGGTGTATGATGCATACAGATCTTCTCCATCTTATTGGCTCTAGTCGTCTAAAAATTCACCTGAGAAATGCTGCGGTCAAGTTCGCAATAGGTGCGTTCCCGTAACAGCTGGTTAAGGATTTTATGTCTTAAAGGATCAGAACGCCCAAATACTTTACCCATAACGCTTTCAGCTCCATTCCGTTGAGACTGTTAACATGATGTGCAATATGTTTTCGGAGCACAACTTCACATTTTTTGTCGTCCCTACTAAGTGTCCAGTCGTCCCAGATGGCTGGCAAGTTGACGTCACATGAACGGCCACCCCGAAAGCTACACCAAGTGGTATGGACGGTGTTTTCGCCGTTGGGGGATTCTCAGATCGCGTCGGCTACCGGGCAATCTAAGACTTTCGACAGTGTGGAGAGTAGAGCAATCGGTCTCTAGCTATCAGGGCTTTTCCGTCTCCTCCCTTGAAGATGGATGAAGAGATGGCGCACTTCCACCCTTTAGGGAGTTTGTATGACTCTGTCAGGTGCTTGGAGAGGTTGCGTATTAGCTGTGCAAGGACCTCAGTGCAGTTTTTGGGATTACCGGTTTCAGGTTGTTGCGGCCGGTGGACCTACCTGGACGCAGCCTAGATAGTTTCTCCGACACTTTTTCTCTGTGGCTGGGATGTGGCGGAGGCATTTGTTACTTGTGGTCTGGCCAGCGTCGTAATGAATCGGTGTAGACTCAATGTCCGTGATAAGTTGAGTCTTGGTGTGTGAGCCCAGAAGCCCAGCTATCTCTGGGCTGCTTAGCACACCTCCGCTGGGATTTATGATTAGATTCACCCCCTTACTGGTTACCTTCCTGTTCGAGATGGAGCGGCACAGGTTTTCGGGGTTACTTTGTAACCTCCCTGCCAGGTTTGTTCGTTAGGTAAACCTGTCACTAGGCTCTCTTACGTAACAGAGGTTCCGAATTCCTTTGTACTGCAAAAAGTCAAACTCCTTCCGTGATGAAGGCCACTAGAAATATTTTCCCATTCGTAGTGAAAGCAGTTCCCCAATGAAAAGAGATAAAAGGAGTATGTTTACGCATATTTAACGGTAACGTATGTCTCCAAGTGTCCCGGGAACCCGCCTTTTTGTGCATAAGATGGTCGTGAACCTATTTTGCTTGATGGATCGTTCACAAGTTCAGTAATCGTGTCCCCTACCGGTTGGCTATAATGGGGTGTAGGGTAGCAGTCCGGCGTCTTTTAGCGTTTACTTACTGTTAATCGCCGGTCGGATGCCAGCTGTGACTACTTTGGGCACCATGCGCAATAGCTATAACCGGGAACTGCCTAACTTTCTGAAAGCCCCGAGCTCGAATACGCGATTTAACTTGCTTTTCACTATCGTTACCTTATCGGCGTGTAGATTGCGTTCTCTGGACGCCGCAGGCAAACCTTTAGCTTCACCGCAATGCATAACATGGCAGCACGTGCACGGTGGATTACGCGTCAGATGTCTCCATCCCGGATATTCTTCTAACACCATCTGTCACGTTGAGCTGACTGCGTGTCTAGTTCTAGTCGTGACTAAACTTGGACTCACGTGGGTGTTTCCGCCACCAATCAACTTTGTGTTTTCATCTATCAGTTGCCTTTGATGGGCGTCTGTGAGCGAGTGGTACGTCCCAGCAAACCGACGCCAGCAGTGGACACGGAAGCATCAGGTGGGAGAAAAGTTCGGCGAAAAGGCCTGAATGAACCTGGGTTGAAGCAGAGTAAAATTTCATTGAAGGTTGCATTGCCTCACCACTATCTGCTTGAAGATTGTTAACGGGTCAGGACAACATTCTTCCGTAAGTGTATGAAAAGCCCTCACTTCTGCAGTGGTGTTGACGGCAAACTTTCGTTTTCACATCCGTGATGCGCAGCAAGTGGATGTTTCCGTCTGTTGCGGTTGCCGTTCGCATATGCCGGTGGGACGGTTTCCTGACTGTCTTCAGTTTCTGCAGAAAGTGCACGTCTTTCGGCAATTTCTTGCTTCCTTAACATGAGGGTTATGAAACCAACACCACCCAGGGTTTCCGACAGTGTGAAACTTAGCTGCTAGACGGCCACGTGAATGCATTAGGATGGGACACACTGCTGCTGTATTATTTGTCGTCACCTGGGGCTTCCAGTTCGCTGAAGCTGCTCAACACAGCTCCACTGCTACGTCATTTCTGGGCCCCTATCCATCATTTCAACAGTCAGCAGAATTTACCTCAGAGGGCCAATGAAGGTCTCCAATATTTTGTCAGTCGAAGCTGCCAGGTCACCGGTGGCAACTGACTGGGGCGTCACCAGCATCGTTTGCCCCAGCTGTGAAAGCTTCTAGTGGAATAACTCGCGAAGAAGTCCACCATCAAAAGTCGCTGGCCAAAGACTTTTCACATGAGTGCGAGCATATGAATTGCTAAGCAGTTTCCTAGCCCAGCATCACTGGCCCATTCATCTGGGCGTTGATGATCTGGAAGGTTGTTTTACCTCAGAAGAGCTGTTTTTAACACTGTATAAGGGTCGCCTACTTCGTAGTTAAACATGTGTGCTGCTATTTGTCCGTCTAATTCCCGCGCCAACGATCATATGACAGTGATAAACCAGGGGATGAACGTCTGTGGCCCTCGTTTCTAAGAAACCCGCCTCGGTGCGCAGCCATCATGCCTCTGTAATAGCTGACCAGAACAGCGGGAGCGGAATGGGGTGCACTGTCGGTTTAATGCAGATAAGTATAGGAGTCTGACCGCACTTGGATGCGAAAGCTTGTAATACAGATAAATGAAAGTTATCAGTACGAAAACAGAAATGCATAAGTGCAAAGAGGAGCCGGCTAACCAGTTTGGGGATTGTGTCTATGCCAATCCGACAGACCCGAAGGTCAGTCACTAGTTTTTCGGATTTGTTGAATACCTACATGTATGAACCAATGAAGGACACAACAGAATAACTAGTTGGGAATAGTATGTTTGATAGACCTCGCTAAATGGCGGCGCCTCCAGTTTCATGGGCTGCAGGATAACATACGGGCAACCCAACGTAGCGCAATAGCATGCTAAGCCGTGTGCTTCCACCTCGGCATGTCGGTTAAAGACTGAAGGTCAGCACCAATGCTGAATCTTGCCTAACCCCAGACCATTTTATGGTTTTGTTTGCTATTGGGCCGTTATTAGCGTGCATTTTTACGCCAGTCCCCAACTGTTACCTCGATGAGTGTAGGTATTTTGGGGTCTACACATGCACACTCGAAGCTAGTAACAACTGGATTTCATATGTCGTAAACAGTGAATTTTAATATCAGCTTCAAACTATTGCTATTCATTCAAGGAAGAAGTTTAAGTTGTCCTGAATGACATAGCTTTATGGAGGATGGAAGGGATGATCTACTAGCGGTACTTGACTATTGAATAAATGAGAAGAGGTAATTAGATGTGATGCACCTTGACATTTATCAAGTACTTGGAGGGTTCTACGTTGCTGCCCATCGGTGAATTCAAGACCTTCGGAGATACTGCAGTCAGTTTTCCAACACGGCTATTTTGCGGTTCACAAGTTACCAACTTTTAGTCACAAGAGATACTCAACAACCACGCTTACGAGTTTAGAATCCGTTCAGCCTGACTGCTACGCCCACTTTACCGATGCTATGAGCGACCCGAAAGTAAGAGGAACAATCTACAGTCATAGTCAAGTCATCTACAGCTTGAGGGGAGAGCCGAAATGTTGAAAACCGGATGACTATCAAAGTATAACTGCTCTCTTCGAGATGGCATGGTAATAAACATCATTGAAGTATTTGTTGGGAGTGTTACCACTCAATGAGTGAACGAAATTTTGTCTTATATCTACAGCTGCACCCATGTGACGGCGGCTGCTAAAAGTACTAGACCAGTTCACGGCAGTCAACCACAATACCCGTGCATAAGCATATCATTTGACTTCCATAATGCCATCCTGGTGAGAAAAAACCGGACACCAGGAAAATAAGAAGACCTCCCAGAACAACGCACCACCCCGAGAATTCTCCCTACGGGGGAGAATCAGAAGGTTGAGGTCACTCAGTATTGGTTTTCCGAAACGCATATGATAGTACGAAGATACCACTTAGTTATATTACCATGACTTTTTTCTGCGGAGAATGTAAGGCACAAATCAGATCGCAACACAAGTCATCAGGATTGGATTTATCCACAAAAAGGGACTATAGAAAGTAAGCTACCACCACAATTTACGACGTGGGAGGTGTTATCTGAGAACGAGTGAAAGCTTTTTAAGACATTCTTTTCCTGCAACTTAGGATGACTCAAAACAAGGTCAGATAGCTTCTCATTTCAAGACATATGAAGCATTATACTTCGACCTGAAATACAGTACGCAAGTTTGGTGAATACCGACCATAACAGTTGTCCTCCACTAACGTTTACCCTTGCTTCACTTAGAATCTTCATCGGAAGAAAGTAGAGATAAAAATCTTCAATCCAAATTCCACCTCTGGTACCAAAATAGGGAATTTGGAGAAGCTTTGGGCTAACTACTTCTGAAGTGTGCCAATTTGAAGATTTAACAGGGTCAGCGTAAAGATGCTCTTTATACAGAGCGCGTAAACATGAGTAATCATCTCATCACGTTGTAAATATGTAAGTGACTACAAACTTTGAAAGTATGTGTGTTTTGTGAAAACATGATTGTGCCACTTACAGAGTTGACCGTAGGCTATAAGGTCGAGTGAGTTTGTTTGAGCTGCGAGATCAGTAGCGCTCCCTATTGTTTCGTCCTATTTTCACGTCTGATTTGGACTAAGGCATTATTTTTCTCAATTATCATAACAACTGACACATCATATTTCATTTATCTTTGAGATGCACAATTGCTAATCATATTACTCATTTGCTCATGTGGGACAGTTCTTCACACAATAGCGCTGCTGATTGTTTCCATGTTCCTATCATGGAGCACTCAACTTCCGCTAACTGTTTGCAGTAATGGTGAGATTTTGTGTTTTTTGTCAAGTATTTTTTGTCCACTAAATGCGTTGTGAGATTATAGTAAGTTGAAAGAGTCCTAGGTCGCGAAGTATATGTGCCGCTTAAAGTTAAATAAGTTTGTGTTCCGGTTTCAAACTTCTTGACTTTATTTACTTTCCAGCTGTATGTCTAATTACCATTTATGAACTTCACAAGTATATTATCACTTTCAAACCTCTAAGGTTCAAAATTATCATCATAAATTTGGGTTTCATAGTAGTTATTCACAACAACCGTAAGATTTTATTCACTAGATTTAACTGAGATGACCAAAACAGTTCACAGTTTACATCTCATAATAATTACGGTTAAGTTCATCACCAGGTGTTGTTTAACCAATGCAACTAGATATAGTACAGGTTTCTTGAAGTATACTATTCTCTCCGGTTGTCGAAGTGTATAGAATGGCTACGAGTTTGGATCTTGAAGACGCATTTTTATGAGGAATGTACAACGACAGCATAGATTATTATATCCCACGACAGCATATCTTATCAGCGAATCGTCTCTCTCTTGGGTTAAATTACTGTTATCTCCTAGGAAGTATGTTTCTGTATTGTTAACTTGTGCTTCCCAGTATTATAATATCTAAGTAATTATACACTAGAATTCGAAAATTTCTTTTCACCCTAGTCTCGAAGTGACTGAGGAAATAATAAGCTCTCGTCCATGTCTTCAGCCACTTTTGAACATAATCGGATTTCACCTTATCTTACTGTTGTTCAGGATCTGTTGAGTCGAAGTAAGAAGGGATTGAAATTTGGGAATATTCTTCCAAATGTGAAGCGATGTGAAGCAATGCGACCTGACGGTTTTCCAACAGAAGCATTTTAGGTTGGGATATAAAACTACTGGGTGGAATAACCAAAGTACTAGCAAATGTTTCGTCAGATTGTTTAATTCATTGGTCATTCCAGTTTATAGGAAGGGAGGGATGTCTTTTTGTGACCACTATTGGGGACTCAGTTTGACTAGCGTTCATATTTATCCTACGCCTGACTGCAAAACCAAGCAGATTTTGTTTAGGTCTTCACCTTTAGACGGGTTCAGGAACGCAGGCATACTTACTGGTGACCGACACGCCATATTCCCTGACCTGAATGGGGTAATAAACTCCATTGACCTTAAGTTGTAGTACTGACTGAAGGGTGTATCGAGCATGGGAAGTTAAGCAATGGTCTCTACTCAAAATCATGAAGTGTTGTCTGAAGTATCAAAATCCAGTAATATTCTCCATTGGTGTTAACTAGCACTATTTTCTTTTAATCTTATCGTAGACGTGGTGATCGATACTACCGTAAGTAAATTCAACTTTTCAGCGATTGATTTACTACTAGGATGGCACCTGGTTGGCTCCAAATACGCAGGTGTTAACGGAAATATGATTTGGTAGGAAGGGCTAAGAGTGGCTAGAACAAGATGTGGAGCTAGTCTTAGAAGTGTCTCGTTGTTATTTTGAGCCATATAGGAAGATGTAGACTACGTTCGTGAGCTCCTCCAGACGATACAAGACCCTTGGTGACTTGGCTGCAAATTTTTCATAGTGACTCATATGTATACACTTTGTCTTGAGCATTTTCGTTAACCTTTATCTATTTGTTTTCTTTCCTCTTATACATTTCTGTCCACTTTAGTATCATTTTCTCCGTCCGCTTTTTTTTTGCATGTTGTTGTGAAGTCTGTTCACTCGAATCAATGAACTTCCATGACAGGTTCTTCATTGTCTGTAGTAGTATTAGTTAGTGTGATACTTCACTAGTTTTTAAAACTACTTAACTCACTTTTCCGCCACTACGTTATGCGTTCGTGTCGTATCCAGAATCTCGAGGTTGCAGTAGTCGAACGTTCTTATAATGTGGCAGATTATATACCTTAACAGCCTTGTGAGTAAGCTTGCAATAATTTACTGGATTAAGTATTACATTTATTCCTCCTGTACAGTGAGATCGGTTAGTACTAAGGAGTTATTTATTTCATCAGGTTGCTTCAGACGACTCAAGTACTTAATTGTAACAGAAACACAAAGCGGACATTTTATCATTCTCAAGTTTGGCCATTCGCAGTTGACTAAATGTAGACTATCTAAGCATCTTAGGGTTTGGTTCCCTCAGATATGCTTCCTAAAGACAATCTGAAGACGAATAATACAATTGTCTGGTATTTACATCATCCTGATTCCTTTAGTGAAACGTCCTATGGTTTATATCACCGAGTGCTATAATTACACATTGTGTGCCGTTAGTTGTGCAAGAAAAAAGCACTTTTTGACTAACAAGCAGTACCTTAAAGACTTGATGTACCGATTAACAACTAACCCATGTAGGGAATCTGCAATTTAGCAGCATTATTAGATATGTTAGAGGGTCAGATTGAACCAAAATCAATCAAACAAAAGAACAACTGCAATAGGACCGCTATTGGTTCGAATTTTGACTAGATGTATTTTTGGATTCCTTAAAAGCTATTTTGGGTGTCCAGACCAACACATGGTACCATTCCATGAAGCTCCTGATTGTTGGTCTGAGTTGCGTTAAGAGATATAGACTACCTTGCTGGGGTCTGAGACGATAGGAATCAGTAGTTGAGAACTTTTGGTGACGGCTGAAAATCGGTGACAGTGGCGCAAATGTATTCACTCTTTGACGTCTTCTAGACCTTGAATATTCACACTAACATTTATCTTCAGATTGTTTAGTCTCTCACACAACTTTATCTACTTTGATATCACTTTTTGTATTCACGTGTCCTTTATGTCATCATCATCATTATCAACATAGGACCAGGCATTACTGCGTAACGGTCCGAGTTGCCACACCTCATATCAGCACATCAAGTAAAAAGGTAGTGAGGTGAAGGATGAAGATAAGTGAATGCAGTCAAAAGAAATATAAAGTACGAGAAGAAAGGAAAGAGGAGTGACAAAATAGTGAGATTCGGTATAGCGTTGTTAAGATGAGGATAATGTGTGTATACATCTGCGCCACTGACTTCGGTTCTGAGCCATATCACCTAGGGTCTCCAACCACTGGTTCCTCTTGTCCCGTGGACCCCAACCACCTAGTCTGCATCGTCCTACATGGCTTAAACCAACAGTCAGAGACTTCATACATTGGTGCCATGTTTTAGTCTGGCCACCTCGGGCCTTTTTCCAGCCTGAACCCACCTCAGCCAACATTGTGTGACGAGGCAATCGGTGACTAGGCATACGTAGTACGTGTCCCAACCATCTCAGTCGATGAAGGTTCACAACCTCGTCGACTGACTTACCTCTTCTCCCTAAAACTCTACACCTAACTTCTGCATTACTCACATGGTGACACCACGGAATACGTCCTATACTACGAAGGCAACGGTGGTCAAACACCTGAACCCTTTTTGTCTCCTCCACTTTCAATGGCCATGTTTCACAGCCATACAGTAGAACAGAGCGGACTGCTGTGCAGTACACGCGACCCTTAATAGACAAACGAATATCACGGCGGCGCCATAGGTGGCGCAAATTGGCAAAAGCCAATCGAGCCTTTTGTATCCGTGCAGAAATCTCATCGGCAACTAACCCACCGGGTTGATCCTACTTCCCAGGTAAGTGAAGTGGTCAACACACTCAACCACTTCACTCTCTATTGTTAACCGCGGTACCGCTGAAGACCAGTCCTGGAGCAAAAATTTGCATTTGGGTGGTGAAAATCGCATCCCAAACATTCTCAAATTCCCACTCAAAGTGTTCAGAAGACTCTGCATCTTGTCAGCGTCTTCACCTAACAGGACTATGTCATCTGCATATTCTAGATCTAAGGAAAATTCACCTGTGATCGGGTCAACGTCTTTGTAATTAGGTGACGAGAGGGAAACCTCCATAAGAATATCTATGATAAAATTAAATAAGAATGGGGATAGTGGGCATCCTTGACGGACACCACTTGATGAGTATAGCTCCCTGGACAACTCACCATAGGCTCTAACATGCCCACAAGTGTTCGAGTAGAGAGCTTTCAATAAGGTGATGTACTTACTAGGCACGCCTTTCAGTGACAGACACTGCCATAAGACTTCTCGATCAACGGAGTCAAATGCCGCCTTCAGGTCGAGAAATACAGCTATTGTCGGGCGTCTGTAAGCATGCCTATGTTCCAGGACCTGGCGCAGTGTGAATATTTGGTCGATACATCCACGGCCAGGTCTAAAGCCTGCCTGGTTTTCTCGGGCTTGCTGTTCCCGAGCTCCACTCAGGCGTCGGAGAATTATAGAACTTAGGATCTTAGACACTATGTTTGTCAGGCTGATTCCTCTGTGGTTATCACAAGAGGACTTCTCGCCTTTCTTGAAGACTGGGATGATCAGTGACTTAGACCAGTCGGAGGGGATCGTATTTGATTCCCATATACTGGCTAACACTTCCGTTAGCCTGACTAAGAGAACTCTACCACCATTCTTGTATACCTCAGCAGGTAGTCCGTCTGGTCCTGCTGCCCTTCCCCGTTTCAGGCTACCTACCGCTTTCTCAACTTCTTCTAGTGTTGGGGGACCTGTCTCTATGTCCCATTCAGGGTCCGACTGGATAGCGGGCAGCGCAATGGTGGCTGGAGGCCAGTTAAACTGTTCCTCAAAGTGTTCTGCCCATCGTCCCAGTCGCCTTCCCTGCGAGTGAATCGCCGATCCGTCCTTCTCCGCTATAACCTCACTAACTGTTGTTGACCATTTCCCCCCAGTCTCCTTAATAAGTCTAAATAACTGTCTACTGTTACCGATCGCCGCTGCCTTTTCCATCTCTTTAGCCTTTGCTGCCCACCACTGTTCACGATCGTTGCGCAGACTTTTCGTCAGTTTATTTTTAAGTTGCGCTCGCTCTTCATTGTACTCAGAGCCTGCAGGGATGCATTCACGTGCATCCATTAGTTTGGAAGAAGCTGCTGATATCCACTGGCTCTTTTTAGCCATTATCTTGGAGTCGGCTACAGTCT